ACTATTTGAGAAAATCTTAAGATTTTAAGTTTGAAAATGTACTAGCTTATTGTTAAAACTAATAGATTTCTCAAACTTATTGTTGAAAGAAATCATTTGAAAAACTAACAATGAAAATAACATGTTTATAAGATTACATATTGAGATGTTGTTTTTTTACTATTCTATCACATTTTGATCCATGTCAATAGTATTAATATTTTTTATAATCATAGATTAGTTCTATGTCAATAAAGGATGGTTCAAAAATAGTCATTTTATTGAGCCAGATCATGTTTGAGATGTTGTCTCATGACCATATATGTTTTATTATGGCCACTTTGAGTTTTTATTTAATTAGCCCGAGAGTCGTTTTTCAACAAATAATTTTATTTTATTTTTAAATGGCTACAATTAATATTTCCCAAGTGGGAGAATGTTATAATTTTTTCATATTGGACTTCCATTAATTGATAGTTAGTTTTGAATTTGTGAAAAACGAGCTGAATTTCTGATCCAATGAGATAAACCCAATATTGTTAAATAATCTATTTTAATGAACTTATGTACATCTCTTTAATTGATGTGGTTAAGACGATTATGTCTAAACATTAATCTAATTGTATCTTGTAATGAAAAAGTCCATTAAATTTATTATAAATAGTAGATTAAGTCCCCTCTCCACTTCATAACCTAATTTAGGTTATTTTATTGAAAGCCGTCTATTATTTTGAAGAAGGAAAGGATCTTGCTCTTTCGTAAAAGAAACTCGGAGATCAAATATCATGACTCATACGTCTGTTCTAAACTTTGTAATTTAGACATTCTAAATTTCATATACGATTCATCAAAATTATTACATGACTTACTCACACAAGCAATCGCCTTGACACTAGTCAGAGTACCGAGCAAGAGTTATAGATAACCTTTGGTTTTGGAAATGTTACCTGTGATTCGTCATCTCTATTCAAGAAGCTATCTGTTGGGTCATCATCTTAGTCTCTAGGATTTGGATCGTGGAAATTAAGTGGAGAACTTTAGTAGCCGCCCAGCGGATGAGAGAAGAGATTGTAGTGGTGATTTGAAACTCATAACACAAATAAAAAATCCGTCATCTTGAATTTGAGTTTTTTGAGATCAAGATAATCTAAACACCCTTATGTGTTTATGTGATCCGCATAATTTATCCATCACTCTCAAGCACAGCTAAAACAAAATTAGTAAAATGAGTCATTGACCTCAGCTTGAGCATGCTCACTATAATCAAGCCAAATTTGAGCATGTTCAAGCTCAACAAGTTCAGAGGCATCGATAAAATGAAACCCTAATCATTCTAGGGCATATTGACAAATTCAATCACTATGCCATTGAGCTGCCCTGAACAAGTTGAGCTGGTTTGACATCTCCGTTGTCCTTTGCCACATGAACCGATAAATAATCATGAGCGTTTAATATTATGTTAGCCATGCACATTATAGAATGAATCACAAGTATTCCATACAAATGCTTGCTTATTCTTAAGGAGTTCTATCAGGTTCTGTGTGACCACTTCTTTACACGCATGGTTGCTTTCGCGGCCTGCATTTTCAACACACAAATTGATTAGATAGAATGGCTTCATTGCACATAGAGCCACTAATAAAAATGCTTAGAGTTAGTATATTCTTACCTCTTTGTCCCAGTCGCATCGAATGGTAAGAAACAGCAATACCATGGTCTGGATTGCAGTTCCTCCAAAAATCATTCCAGCCCAAATGCCCTAATCAATATTTTCATAAGATTCAAAATGTGAAATGTATGACTTGATAACTGAAGATATGCAGATTTTAAACCATGATATGAACAAGTTCAAATCCTATCCGATATATTTTTGGACGAATTATACTTTGCAGCGTGAAAGATTTTAAGATTCACTTTGTGGTCTAAAAGATTAAGTTTTCTACATTATACTATTAATATATCAAAAATGTTGTATTGTGACCCTTGATGTTAGTTTTTATTAGTGGCAATTGGATAGATTTTTACGAAAAAAAAATAACTGAAACCAACAGAAGGGTCACACTATAACATTTTTGATATATTGAAAATATAATGTGAAAAATTTAATCTTTAAGGATATAACATAAAAATCTTAAAATCTTTTAAGGTGTAAATTGCGATACGGCCTATATTTTTTTCAAAATCCGTTAAGGAAAAGGCATGCATGGGCTTTGGCTTAGGCCCGCTGATCGGCTTGTGAACCCATTCAAGCCTGAAAAATATGAATTTTCTTTACATTGATTTTAGTGAAAATTGTGGCTAAATCCTCTTTAAGCGACTTATAATGAGTTTAATCCGTCAAGGAAACTTATTTGGGGATAAATTCGTTTTTAATCTTACTAATAAGTACTTAAGTCCACTATTTTTTTAAAATCCCAAAATACCCTTCCTTGAAAGTAATTTTAAATTAGTTTTCTAACTTGAGTATTATTATACCTTAATTTACTATCAATGAAGATATGCCAATAATTTTTTTTTTACATAAATTAAAAATTCAAATTCAAAAAACAACTAATATTCTCTCTCTCTCTCTCTCTCTATATATATATATATATACATATATATATATATATATATATATATATTACCATATTACTGTTCATGTTACTATTTTTGTTGAAAATGTTACTATTGTTATTTTTGAAAATATTAATACTCAATATTTTTTTTTTTTTTGAATATTATTATTTTTTTGTGTTTAAATGTTACTATTTTTTTAATGTTTCTATATGTATGTGTGTGTGTGATATATATATAGAGAGAGAGAGGGGGTTCAGATCATTTTGAAATAAAAATTAAATACATTCTAACGGACAACGTAATCCCAATATAAAAGACAGTTTAAATTTCAAAAATTTTGATCTAACGATCTACAGTAAGTACTGAATTTTATTTTTCCGCCAAACAACATTTTGTTTTTTAATTATCAGATCGTTTCAAAATTATCCCTTCTAAATGCTTTAATTTTGGAATCCCCCCTCAATCACACTATTTTCTCACGAATCTAAACCTCTCTCTCTATTTTACTTTGTATCCATCATTAACGCCCCAAATCTCTCTCTCACATTCCTTCTCTCTCTGGCGCTTCAATCACGCCCAAACTCTTTCTCTTTCCCCCAATCTTCTAACCTCTTCTCTCTTCTCTTTTTCTATCCCTATCTCTCTTCTCTATCCAACAACGCCCTCTTTCTCCATTTTTCTTTCTCCCCCAATCTCCTAGCTTTGTCAGTGACACCCTCGTACCTTTGCCAGCGCCACCAACCGTGCTAGCCACCGGCCATCAAACACCGCCAACAACACCATCGAGCACTGCTGCTAATAACGTCATCGAGCACCACCACCTGGTGACTATACCATCCCTCTTGAGTAATTCTTTGTCTCTTCTTCTCCTACCTCTCTAACCTTTCCTCTGTGCCTAGCGAACCACCATCAACGCCTATAAACCACCCCCACAACCCCTACCCCTCTTTCTCTCACAACCCTAACCCGAGTACTCAAAAAATAAATAAAATTGTGATTGATTGCTTTTGAGTTTCAACGATTATTTGATTTTTGCCCTTTCTTACTATTGTGATTGAATCTCTTTGGTTTTATGATTGATTTGTTGCAGGAAATGTACAGTGTTAAAAGGATTAAGTATGGAATTAGAAAAAGTAACACGGCTGTTAGTAATTCTAACAATTTGAAATTCTTGAACAGAGCTCACACAAATTATCTACCATTAAAGCATGGAAGAATAGCAAGAAAGTAACTATAGAGGTTGAGCTAAAACAAATTGAGGTAATAAATCTACTTTTATTTTCTAGCAAGATGATGAAATAGAAAAGACCTTAATATTGGATATGATTTTATTTTGACACTATATATGCATGATGGGCTGGAGAAATTGGAAAATAAGGTAGAATTTGGGGGGAGGATGAAAAACAACAGTGCTGTCATCCACAAGTAAACAGAAGAAAATGTAGTTCTTCATTATTTGCATCACTATTTCCATTCAATTAAATAAGTTTCTTGGGTCAGTCTGTGTAATACAAAAATTAAGTGATTATTTCTTTTTTTCCATAAGTCAAAATTTTTAGAGCTGGGTGATTATTGGTTTCATTGGGCTATGTTTTAAGAAGAGCAAAAAAAAGTCATCTTTTACGAGATATAGACGAAGAGGGGTTTTGTTTCACAAAAGGAAAAAGCTTACTAGAGAGTATTTAAAAGAATCACATTATTGTTCATTGATTGGCCATAGATACATATCTANAAAAAAAAAGTCATCTTTTACGAGATATAGACGAAGAGGGGTTTTGTTTAACAAAAGGAAAAAGCTTACTGGAGAGTATTTAAAAGAATCACATTATTGTTCATTGATTGGCCATAGATACATATCTACCGTTGTTCATTGATTAGCCATAGATACGTGTCTTCACCTTTGTAAAATGTACCAATCAAACAGTTTTATGCTACTTTTTCAATTGGTTGCTTCGAGGCCATTAGTTTAAACTGGTTGTGATTGTTCTATTTTTAGTAGCCGAGAAGTCCTTTTTTGTGCATTTTAACAATGTTGTAATTGTAGTATTGGTCTGTAATTGTAGTATCTTCACCTTTTTATCACCAAATAAGTCTACGAAAGAGGACCGGCTTCCAAATTTCCTCTGATTTTATTTCCGATTGTTTTATTTTTAAATTTGGACTAGCTGGCCAGTAATACCTGTCTCATATCGATACCTTCGAATAGATTTTCTTTTAATTTCTCTCAATAATAAATTTATTATTCTATCAATAAAAAAAATTATCTAAATAATTGAAGAAAATCTTAATCCCCAAATGGGAATGAAAATTATACCCTTTAACGGAGATGGACCAGAGATAGGCGAAATTTTTTTAAGCGAGTACGGGAATGGAGACTACACCCCCCGCCCGCGCTTTGGTCCATTGACATCCCTACGTCCCATCCTAAGAATAGTTTTATGCGAGTCTGATTTGGATTCATGTTAGGCGTTGATCTACCATTAAAATAAATTATAATTTTTTTTTGATTTAATAGTTAGGAATGTCTAAATTAATTTACGTGTATGTTGATTAACTCTCTTTTTGATCCAATCAAAAACAGTCTATTCACATCAGAACTAAAATATTTATGAGATAAAAATATAATAAAATGTCTTAAAAGAGATTCAACGTACGCACCTTAACTCCTAGGTTGAAAACCCAGCCCATTATAATTCCAAGAGGGACACCAACCACATAGTAGCAACCTATATTTACATAGGCCACATACGATTGCCAACCAGATCCAACAGCAACTCCTACAAAGTTGAAGGGGAAAAAAAATGAAATATAAAACAGTAATATAAAAGAGAAACAATTATATAATAATAGTAAATGTGAAAAGGAAAAAAAATGAACTAGCATTGGACATAATAGTTGAGTACCAGAAAGAACTGGTTGAACACTATTTAGGAGAATGGTGAAGGCCAAGAGAATTGAGAGATCGTTTACTGCTTCTAAAACTGGTGTGCTGGTTGAGAAAATTAAGGCGATTTTGTTGTGAAAAATCATGATCAACGTCCAGAAGAAGAGACCAATCACCAACGATGTCGTCACGGACACTACTGTTGAAAATTTTGCTGCTTTTCCATTGCCTGCTCCTAGCTCATTTGCAACCCTTACTCTGTATCAAATTCATCACAGAACAATTACCGCATGAGTTTGTTAACTTTGAAAAAAATATATATAAAATTAAAGTGCTAAGGGGCTCTTTGGTATGTGGTTTGGGAGGGTTTTGGAACATGAATCGGAGACTAAACTCCCTTAAACTCATGTTTGGTAACTTTGAATTTACCCTAGAGTTTGAAATCCGACTCGGTCATGAAATCCTTGAGTTTCATGAAACCCATGGGAAGAGGGGGGAGGGGGGTTTTCATATGTGGGTTTGAAGGTTTTACATTCAAATGACATTTATACCTCTCATATATCTATACCCATATTTGGATTAAATTAATTAAGGGGCACAATAGTCATTTAAATATAAATATATTATCGTCATGGTCATATATCCCTGCGCATACCAAACATGGGTATGAATAGCATTTAATATTGAATCCCTTCTTTGAATTTCATCTTTAGTTAAATCCAAATTTAAACAAGTCAATTCAAATTCCTCCTAAAAAAAAAACTACCAACCAGGTCTAAGAGAGTGCGGTCAAATCTTGAGTATTATCGTATGATTTTGTTAAACCATTAATTTTTAATTCAAGTAATTATTCTACTAAAAATAAATAAATTAATCATTAAAATAATGATACTAGAAAGTAACTTTTCCATGCTATCATTGATCAAAGACAACGTACTATAATTTGATACCGGACCAATGACATGCATGACACAGCAGAAGGCTGTAAAGCCAGCCTTTCTTGTCGTTACATTTTTTAATACCATTATTCTATGCTTCCTCTATTAAAAAGTTGTCGGGTGTCAAAATTATTATTCTATTTTTTTAATTAATATAATATTCCAAACCAAAATAATAAAATGAATATATATATATATTATATATATATATATATATATATATATATTACTTTATTTACTACTAAATTATCGACTGATTAGAAATATGAAACATTAAGTGATAAATAACACACAAAAATAATAATTTTTTTTGTTATAAAATAACTCATAAAAATAATTATTAAAATAATAAAAATTAGAAGTATGATGCAAAAATTTTCCTCCCCCTTTCATTCTAATTTCACATGCTAGTAGCAACATTTGTTTGCGCTCCCGTACAGTTAAGTGGTGGCCCCCTTCATTCTAATTTCACTTACTATTTGCAACATTTATTTGCTCTCGTACAGTTGGGTGGTGGCAGAAAGTAAAATGTACGACAAAAAAAATTGTTTGGTGTCCGAAAATATATATACATATTTTTGTTGGTATCACAATCGAACCATGAAATTAATTGTGCCCAAATTATCACCATTGTGTACAACAATCATACTTTGTCTAAAACCCTTCAATTCGAGCCAACCCCACCTGACTTAATTGAGTTTATATTAATATATTCAACTCAACTTAAATAAAAAAAAAACTATTTTAAGAAAATTCAGCAACAAATGCGTTTAAAATATCATTTCTTGACTTATAAACCAGGAGAATGCTACAATTTTTTTTTGGGTACAGTCCAAAATATATACAACTTTTTAGAATTTTTTTTCTACAATTTTTTAGGATTATTTATAACTTCTTGAACTTTTACGATCAATCCTAAATATTTACAATCGATTCTAATAATTTTAGAATTAATCCTAAAATTATTAGGATCAACTGCAATCACCCAAAAAATTATTATCTGTCCCCTGAAAAATTATAGTTAGAACAATAAGAATTATAGAATGATCTGTTTAAAATCCCTCCTAATTAATATCCAAAATTTATATAATGAACCACAAAAATTATAAATTTAAGTATCATACCTCCTGAACTACTAAAGTCAAATGCTAATAAAAAAATTATATAGTTTTTGGGGTCTCTACTAAACACCACCAATTTGTAGTCTACCTCTTGTTTGGACCAACCGAGCAACAATGTTCACAGAAAACAAAAAAAAAAAAAAAAGAGGTAAATCTATAACAAGTTATGGGCTGGAAAACAAATGAAATATATAAAAATGGAGTAAAGACAAGAAAATGTTACCCAGCTCCAGCAAAAAAGGCAAGTGGAATCATCAGCTCCCATCCATTTATATTCATGCTGCAAAAAAAATACAAAACAATACAGATAACAGATTAAATATAAACCTTGAAGAATAAGTACTAAAAGTTTAACCATCTTTTTCAAATTATTTTCAAACGAAAAATTATCAAAAAATAAAAACGGTTTAATTAATTTTTTTTACCAAATGCATGAATAATATTTGTGGGTTCTAACAAAAATAATAATAATAACAATTAAAGTGGATGTGTGCACATGCGCGAGCATATATTCTTCTAAATATGAGCTTAAATTTGAAAATAGAGAACAAACCCAGATAGCAAAACAAACGCTATTTTAGAGAACATAAAAAAAAACAAAAATAAAAGTATTTTTAAATATTTTATCTTATAACAATTAAAGTGTAGGATTGCACTTGGGTACCCCCCACATTGTTCGGCATGACCCGCGTAACAACCAAGAGTTGGAGGATATGTTGAAGACGAAATTAAAAAGTGAAAGCGAGAGCAAAACCAGTCAATTTTGTTATATATAAGCAAGCAGACATTGTTGAATGTAACAATTACAATAACAATAATAAATGAATAAAATGATGATAATTATGGATAAGCATAAATTGCTGACCATATGGACAAAGCATCCACTGCAATTTCGGCATTCTCCAAGTTTCCGGTCATCACTACCAAGATTCTGTAATACCAATTCTCCAGGCTGTTTCAGACAAAAAAGAAAATTGACATCGTCACACACACACGCACATAGAGAGAGAGAGAGAAAAGAGGGAGAGAGAGTACCAAAGCATGACCCCGGAAGAAGCAGAGAGTTTAAGAAACTCCCACNGAGAGAGAGAGAGAAGAGAGAGAGAGAGAGTACCAAAGCATGACCCCGGAAGAAGCAGAGAGTTTAAGAAACTCCCACAGACCAGAAAAAGCTTCAATGGAGTATCCAGTCCAAGTATGAGGACACCCACCAAAAACAGTGTAACCAAACAATCCAAACACAATAACCCACCAAGAGAAATTTAAAGTCATGGCCGTTCCCACCAGTCCAAACTTAAAACCATACACAACCAACCAGCTCAACGCCACATGCACCAGCAGCGCCACCATTGTCACCAAAGCAATAACCGAATTCTTCAACTGGCTCTGCAAGAACCTCTGAAGAGGAAACTGAAAAGCAAAGCTAAAGTGAATAGGAATGAACATTTTAGCCACAAACCCAGATAGCTCAGCCACGTCCGATGGTTGTCCCAATAGCTTCAAAATCGGAGTAGCAAATATGTATACTGGCGAAAGCAATACACAACACGAGAAGAGAACAATCCAAGAACGCTGCAGATATACACCCAACATGTTGTAATTCTTTGCCCCAAAAGCTTGCCCACACAGTGTTTCTAAAGCACTTGCCATTCCCAACTGATTACACGGCCAAAATTATACAAAAAGAAAACATTGTTTTAGAGATTAAACATGTGATGATTAAGAAAAAAAAATGAAAAACCAGCTGAAGTAGTAAAATTAAAACCATTTTATTTACCAATATGATGCCCATGACCAAATATTCTAGTCACATTCCTAATTAGTAATGACTTGTTCAAAAAACTTTATAAAACAATAATTGTATTTCAATAAAATCATAATTGTATTTCAACTGATATAAGATCATGTATTAGTAATCTGTTTTTAAAGAGAGAGAGGAAGTACCAAGAGGCCAAAGCTGAAACCAAGTACAACAGTAGTGGCGATGGACATGGCAGCGAGCTCAAGGTCACCAAGGTGGCCGGCAAAAGCTAGGGTGATGACGAACATGGAGTAGGCGGCGATGCGACTGAAGATTGCTGGGCCCACTACGCGCCATAGCTTTTTCGATTCGATCCACACCTTCATAGAAAGAGTTTGATTTTGTTGCTCATCTTCATCTTTAGGTGTTGAGGATGAATAGTCTAACAAGGGTGCTGATGGATCCTCAGCACTGCCGTTACTTGCCATTTCTTGAGTGCTTTCTTGCCTCACTCTTTGAACTCTCCGATGGATGGAGAGAGAGAGAGAAAAGTAGCCTTGAGCGTTCAGTTCATGTCACGGATTTACGAAGAAAATATTTGTTGCAACAGTCGTACAATATTACCGCCGTCGCATGATATTATCGATCAATTACAAGATAAAAATTAAGATAAATTGAATCCATTAATGTTATGTGTTTTGGAAACAGTAATTATAGGTAATTATAAAAATAGTGGAGTTTATTTCATTTATTTTTAATTTTTTAACTAAATAATAGCACGTAATAATAATAATATAATATTACTATTATATTAAATATTTACTCGTATTTATGTAAAAAGCATTGACAATTTAAATGTAGTTTGGTGGGAGCATTGAGTAATTTTAGACAACCCGAAGACAATAATGTCGTTTCAATGACAATTTAATAAACACATTTTGTTATTTTTCTTGTATTTGTAATTGTCCCAACCGACCCCAACTAGCTTTGAAAATAACTAATTAATAGATTTTTTGAGTTTGAATTTTAGTATTTTTTTAGTATTATATTATAAAAATTTTATTTTTAATTAATATTCTAATTCAAGTGAAAATTATCTATCTTTAATTTGACCAAATAAAAAATTAATTAATATTTATGTAAATTGATCAGTACTGTTATCATGGAATGATAATTATTAATTAGATCAATGAAAAAACATTTTTAGTAATTATAGTGAACCAAAGAAGAGTGATTTGGGAGATTTACTGATATGACCCGATGTGACAAAATATGACTTGTCATTTCATATGATTGTAGGTGAAGAGACGGGCTATACAATTCACATATTTTATGTATCACGTGGTGGTCCCAACCACTGATGGCTTGGCCATTGGCAAACTAGAATACAAAAAGTGTGGTTGCCATGTCGTGCACGGTCACTTGATAAGGTCGTTAGTGGGTACCTCCTCTTCTGAATGTAAGGACTTATATACGAGGAAAGGAGATGACTCTCAGTCGATGTGGGACGAAGTTCCTGCGGACACTGAGAGGTAAAGGCTACTGGGGGGTCGCCCGCGTGAGTTAACCCAGGTCAAGTCAAAATCCTTAATGGAGGATTCTACCCCTTACATATATATATATATATATATATATATATTATTTTTTTTTTTATCAGAGAACACTTAAACATGTCTACTTAAAAATAGAAGTGTCATAGGTACTCATACACACACACACACCCGAAGACTATACAATGTGTCTTTTGTCACTTGACCGACACCTGCATATTATCATAGAACACTCATCGGTCAAGAAACCATTTTTATTTGACCGACATAAAGAGTAGCAGTATTTTACATCGAGACCCACTTTAATTTACACGGAGACCACGTTTTTCATGGCTGCATAAATTTATTCTCTTTTAAGGTAAATTCCGAGATCCCTTACTACTGCGTGTTAGAAGCCGGATTGAGAATTGTGATTTGACGATTTTCATGATACCTTATCTTATGATTTGTTTGGTAGAAAAAATGAAAAAATAAAAAAAAATAAAAATTAGAAGGAAATAACTTTTCATCCCTCGAAAAAAGAAATAGATTTTTTTTTCTTTTTTTTTGTTTGATACGATGGATTGAAAGTTGAAAAGATAAATTTTAAGTTGTTTAATATATCAGAAAAAAAGTGAAACAAAATAAAAATGTATCAAACTTAAAATTTTCATTTTATCCCTCTACTAGGTGGAATTTTATACACGCAACTCGTTTGAAAAAATTAATCTCAAGCACACATGACCAACAAAATTTATCCTGCTATGTAAGCAGCTACGAAAGCACTTTTCCTTGTCCTCTCTGTGTCTGAATAAAAATCCAAAAGGATCTTGAAACGTCTTTAACTCCTACAGAAAATCAAACACCAAAATTTAATGTTTGTCCTTTAGCTTTTTGGGATTTTTACGAAAAGCAATGGCCGTTTGATTTACGTCACAATAAATAATATTAATAAATAAATTTTAAGAATATTTTTAAAAAAATATTTTTAAAATTTTTTTAATTGCAAAACCTATTTGATTATATATTTTTGAAAGTAGTTTTACAAAATAAAAAATTATAAAATCTGTTTTGACAATAATCCACAAAATTAATTTTTAACTTATTACTTTTAACCAAAAAAAAAAAATCACACTTATGTATCTTCTCTCTCTGGTAGACACTCCANATTAATATTTATGTAAATTGATCAGTACTGTTATCATGGAATGATAATTATTAATTAGATCAATGAAAAAACATTTTTAGTAATTATAGTGAACCAAAGAAGAGTGATTTGGGAGATTTACTGATATGACCCGATGTGACAAAATATGACTTGTCATTTCATATGATTGTAGGTGAAGAGACGGGCTATACAATTCACATATTTTATGTATCACGTGGTGGTCCCAACCACTGATGGCTTGGCCATTGGCAAACTAGAATACAAAAAGTGTGGTTGCCATGTCNAGTAGTTGTTGCGAAAGAGAGAGGGGGCAAATCTGAAGTACAGTGGAAAGAGAGGAGAGATAGGTAGTGAAGACATCAAAGAAACACAATGAAGACGTTAGAGAAGAAGACGCTGGGCAAAGTGGAGAGAGAGAGAGGAAGGAAAAAAAAAAAAAGACGATGTTTGTTGCTAAGAGAACTCGAAGCTGTGATCTCATTTAGCTTGTCTTCGTTTTTCCAAAATTTTCAAAAAAAACTGTGAAAACAAGTTTAACTTGTTTTCTATTTTTGTGTTCTAAATTTCATTTTTTTTCAACAATTTGAGAACAAAAATGTTAAGCAAATAAATTGTGGGTGTTTTTAAATTTTTGAGAACAAAAAATAGCTTTCGAATCGCAAACCAAACACNAAATATTTTTAAAATTTTTTTAATTGCAAAACCTATTTGATTATATATTTTTGAAAGTAGTTTTAAAAAATAAAAAATTATAAAATCTGTTTTGACAATAATCCACAAAATTAACTTTTAACTTATTACTTTAACCAAAAAAAAAAAATCACACTTATGTATCTTCTCTCTCTGGTAGACACTCCACCGTCTAGAGTCTTCTCTCTCCTCTCTTCTCTCTCCTCTCTTCTCTCTCCTCTCTCCTCTCTCTCTCTCCACATTATATTCTCACAGAACAAGAACAGCCACACATATAGAGGCATACATACACACACGCATACATACTCACACAAAACACACACACACATGCAGACACAAAACACAGACACACATGCAAACACAGACCCACACAGATTTGTAGTTGTTGCGAAAGAGAGAGGGGGCAAATCTGAAGTACAGTGGAAAGAGAGGAGAGATAGGTAGTGAAGACATCAAAAAAACACAATGAAGACGTTAGAGAAGAAGACGCTGGGCAAAGTGGAGAGAGAGAGAGGAAGGAAAAAAAAAAAGACGATGTTTGCTGCTAAGAGAACTCGAAGCCGTGATCTCATTTAGCTTGTCTTCGTTTTTCTATTTTTGTGTTCCAAATTTCATTTTTTTTCAACAATTTGAGAACAAAAATGTTAAGCAAATAAATTTTGGGTGTTTTTAAATTTTTGAGAACAAAAAATAGCTTTCGAATCGCAAACCAAACACGCCCCATCTATTTTATTTTGTTCTCATCCAATCAAATGCAGTACAATCAAACAAATCTCAATAGAGTTTTGATTATGATATTGAAAAAAGGAGTTGTCTACGATAGAAGAAAAAAAAATTCAGTATTACATAATCATTTATTATATTTGTAGTTATTTTTATAATTGAGTATTTTTATCATTATTGTTGTGAGAATCTCTCATACATTACATTACATTTAAATAATACTAGTAGTTGCACACGTGGAATAATTGTGAATTATAATTTTTGTTTTTATGTTTTATCAAGAACTTTGAAGTTGTTAGATTTTATGTACATTCACTAGACTATGTAATTCTTATTTGTGCTCAAGCAATGGATATTACAAAATTCCAACTAAAACTCTTTATTTGTCAAAAAGTAATTAATTTGCCTATAATTTAGCAATACTACAAGAAAATACTAAAAAAAAATATAGTCCTCGATGATATGCACCGCAAGCCATGTAGCATTTGGAGCTACGTACGGTTCGCTGCAAAGAGTCTTGCCGGTGATGATAGTCTGAAAAAGCGCGACCTTAAAATGAAGATTAGAAGCAAATGTCTCAAAGTTATCAACCATTACAACTGGACAATACTTGTGAATCTTCACCACACCATACCTACATATGCAACAGTTTATTATATAGAGTATAGTTAAAATTGGGTAGCTGTTGATGTATTAGAGCAAATCAAGATACTCATGCATTCAAAACGACAAAACTATCAAAATATATATCTTGAGATACTAACTAATACAAAGTAAGTTTTGACTTTTATTTTTTAATTACATATGATTTCAATCACATGAGTTCATCAATTACCTTGTATTCATTGTATTCCAATCTTACTCTTCAATGCCCCTTCCTAAAATCAAATCACCTTCATGCCTGAAAATTCACTGCTAAATTTTGTATTCATCAAGTATTTTCCAAAACACAATCTAAGAAAAATAAACTAAAAAAATATATATATGCAACTTCAATTTAATTTTCATTGCATTAGTATAAACTTTTTACCTCCCAAGGGCCAATTCTAAGTAATGATGTAGGGAAGTTGGAAGACTTGAGCTTCTCAGACAAAGGTTGAGATAGAAAATCATTAATCTGGACAGAAAATTTTGATTTTTTTGACTGACCTGTGTTTGAAAAATGATTATATTTCTTTAGTTCACTTGACATACATAGCTCGACAAAATTGTCTTCAATAACATTCATTGTAGGTATTTGATGTTCAATTAAATTTCAAGAAATTGCTTAGTTGAGTTAAATATCAAATAGTTATAAATGACATTTTTTGTGATTTTCCCCCCTTTTTTATTAAGCATTCATAGCCTTGCATTTGCATGACTGTATTGATGTTTTGCCCCTAATAAGATATAGATATTTAATAATGTCTGTTGATGATACAAGACAATGAGCTATGGAGACACATTACAATGTGGTTTCTCTTAGGAAATTTATCAAATTTCAATTGTTTTGGGTAATATTTTTTGACCAGAAGTTGAATTGATCATTCATCAACATTAAGAAAAATTAGGCCAAAAAATAAAACTTTCATCAAAGAGAAGTAGATAAAGGCTTTCCCTTGGTATGTATTAGTCTAGGATGATTTTTGAAAATGTAATTTTACTAAAAACAATGACAATTTCTACGACGAAATATGTATAAAACATTGTTAACTACATTTGGCTAATAGGCACTACATAGGTGTTGCTAATGCCACATTTTTTTTTATAAGACTTTGCACCTTGTTTAGTAAATAAGTTAAATACAAATAAAATATGATCGTCACATATTTATACAGTCCAATCTTCAACAAACCAAAATAATATGACAAAAATTTAAAATCAGAATTACATTTAATATAAATCTCGTGTGTGGCACGTGTGCACGATCTAGTAAAAGAAAATAACTATACAAACACCCATACTCAAATGAAATGTATTGATGAATACTGGTTTCCCAGAGCAAGGGAATACATCAAAGTGTGCACACCCCTGAATCCAAACACTAGCATCTATAGTTTGATCTGGATATCTCAAAAAGTTCATCTGGAGTCATCTTCTCAAGATCTTTGGATGAACAATAGTCAATGCTATGGGTATGTTGGGCAGCCATGGATGCTTCAATCTCCCCCACCTGGTGATCTTGGGCACACATTCTCTTGTACAACCTGATTACGGAGACAAAATTTTCATAGGGATCATGCACCCCTAATTGGATATCATACCTGTAAAGAAAACCCCCATGTCAAAAAGAGTTTGGAACATATACACAGCTGCTACTTCAGCAAATGTTTAATAGCAGCTTTGATGCGTAGCTGCCTACTTAGCTTGGCTCCTTGTATATAGCTTGCATGTAAAGTGGTTGCATCCCTTTTTTGTTGGCGAATTTAAAAAAAATTTACGTACCACAACAAGGAATTGTTCCATGTGTGATGAGTGTTAGGGTACCTGGGGACTTGATAGTAGATTAATGATGACAATATAAATAGTTTCATTGAAAAAATTCATGTCCTTCTATTGGACTTATGTTTTTTTTTTCTTCTAGGGCTTACGAGGGTATTTGCACCTCTTGAAAACCGGACAAATCCCCTAGGTTCATGGCCTATGCCATAAGATCCATGCTCTGGGCAATCCCAGATCAAAGTCCACAGGAATAGCCCGAAGAGGTTAACAGATTCAATTATGCAGCTTAATCTTTTGGGGTTAATCTTATAATCATATGGGAAATGTGATTTCGTTCCAGTGGAAGGAGTGAAGCAAATACCCATAATGCTTAAATTCTAAAATGTTTTAATACAACCTAGCACAAAAATTGACACACACCTAGGTTTGAATTGACACACACCTAGGTTCAACCTTTTTTTAACGCCTTTGATCAGGTCAATCAGATGATCACTTTGTAGTATCACTCAATGTGGCCACAATTTTGCTAATTGTTTATATTCTTGTTGCTTTGAACAGTCTTTTTTGCTGGAAATAGTAATAATGCCAACATTTAAGTCTTGACTGGTTCTAATTATAAGAGATGGAAGCAAAATATTGAGTTTGTCCTAAAAATTGATGATATAGATTTTGCTTTGAAAAAGAATGAACCTGCTAAATCTACTAGTGAGAGTTCATCCGATGAAAAAAACCTTTATGCAAAGTGGAAGAAATCTAATAGGCTGAATATGATTGCTATGAAAAGGTCTAACTCTGAACACCTTATGAGTGGCTTGCCTGAAACCAAGAATACCAAGGAGTTCTTCACCGCTGTATGAGAGAGATACAAGGTATCAAATAAGACTGAAGCTGAGGGGGCCTAATGAATGAATTAACGAGTATGAAATATGACAATATAGGTGGTGTTAGGGAATATAACCTTAGAATGGTCCATGTTCAAACCAAACTCAAAGCTTTCAAAATTGTTATTTCTGATGATTTCATTGTTCATCACACTCTTAACTCTTTGCCTCCTGAGTTTAGTCAAATCAAAACTGCCTACAACAACCAAAATGAGTCTTGGACAATTAATGACCTTATCTCCAAGTGTGATTCTGAGGAAGAAAAACTTAGAAAAGAAAAGAGTGAAACTTCCTTGTTTATTTCTCAGTCTAAATCTAGTTTCAAAAGTCGGTATCAGGGAAATAATAGAAAATCTAATCATAATGCTTCAAAGAATGGTCAAGATTTCAAAAGACATGGTACTGGTCAGAATATGAGAGGTCTTACGGCTGCTATTAAAGATGTCATGTGTTACTTTTGTAAAAAAAAAAGTCATAAGAAAAGTGAGTGCACTCAATTCAAGTCTTGGTTATAAAAGAAGAGCAAAGAAGAAGGTAATTCACTAGCCTTTGTTTGCTTTGAATTCAGTTTAGTTAATGTCCCATTAAATTCTTGGTGGATTGACAATAGAGCTTCTGCTCATATTGTCATGATTTTGCAGGGATTCACAAGCAAATGAAAGCTAAGTGAAAGGGAAGCCAAACTTAAAATAAGAGATAATAATGAAGTCCATGTTGAGTTTATAGGAATTGTTAGATTGAATATAGACAGAGGTTTTCAACTTATTTTAGAAAATACTTTTTATGTACCGTCATTTAAGCAGAATTTGATTTCAGTTTCTTTGCTTGATAAAATTAGATATTGTTTTAATTTTAGTCATGGTAAAACTCAATTATTTTTAAATACCAAAATTGTTGGTTATTGTGTTTTATCAGATGGTTTGTACAGTATATGTTTGGCTGTCAATAATGAATATGGTCTTTCAAATATTGTGAATGTTGTATCTAAGATACCTTTCATTAAAAAAAAATCTTCACAGCTGTGGCATAAACGTTTGGGTCACATTTCTAGAGAATTAGTGGGAAGATTAATAAAAAATGATATTCTTCCTCCCCTTGATTTTGGAGATCTTGAAACTTATGTTGACTGCATTAGGGATAAATTCACCAAGACTAATAAGAAAAATATAACTCGAAGTCTAGATTTTTTAGAAATTATTCACACTGACATCAGTGGATCTTATTCACGTACATTGTGTGATAATAAATATTTTATTACATTTATTGATTATTTCTCTTGTTATGAATATATTTATTTAATTAATGAAAAATCAGATGCTCTTGAAAAGTTTAAAATTTTCAAGACCGAGGTAGAGAAACAATTATGGAAAGTCATCAAAATTGTTAGGTTTGATCGTGATAGTGAGTATTATGACAAACATGACGTGTTTGAACAGCATTTGAGATCGTTTGCCAAATATTTACAAGATTGTGGGATTATTGCCCAATATACCATGTTTGGTAGTTTCGAACATAATTGTGTGGCTAAAAGACGTAATCGTAACCTTAAAAATATGATGAGGAGTATGGTGAGTAAGTGTAACTTGCCTAATTATCTTTGGGGAGAATCCATTAAAACGATTTTATACATTTTTAATAGAGTTCCTAACAAATCTGTTCCAAAAACACATTTTGAATTATGGACCAATAGGAACCAAGCCTTAACCATTTTCGAGTCTGGGGTTGTCTTACTGAAGTCAAAATCTATAATCCTTTTGAGAAAAATATTGATCCTAAAACTACTCGTTGTTTCTTCGTTGGTTACCCAGAACATTCTAAAGGATACCAGTTCTATTATCCTACATATGGTACTAAAATTGTTGAGTCATTAACAACAAAATTTCTGAAGCTTGATGTTGCTGATATTTGTTGCTCATAGCCTATTAGTGTGCATGAACAAGATAAATTTATTTATATTCCTTTACCTATTGTGTAAGAGAATATTATACCTACTCCTATTGTTAATTTCTCTGCTCCAGTTGTTGATCCTCTTGTTCCTACAATTGAACCTTCTGTTCCTATTGAGGTTCCTCAGCTCTTAGAGCTTACTACTGAAATTTTCTTGAAAAAGTTTACAAGACCAAGAAGACCTGTTATTTTTTATGAATATTATGTATACCTTGGGAAAAGTGATTATGATATTGGTGATATTATTTGATCATGTAACATATCATGATGTCATTACTTGTCATCAGTCTAATATGTAGGTAGGTGTCATGAATGATGAGATGCATTCTTTGACATATAATGAAGTGTGAGAGCTTGCAGAACTTCTTGAGAGATGTAAATCCATTAGCTGCAAATGGGTGTTTAAAACTAAGATAGACTCCAAAGGTAAAATTGAAAATTTTAAGGTTTAGATTGGTAACAAAAAGGTGGCTCATTTTGATCTAGAACTTCACCAGATGGATGTGCAGACAATTTTCTTGAATGGTGAGCTTAGTGAAGAAGTTTATATGATGCAACTTGAAGGTTTCAAGGAAAATGGGAAAGAATATTTAATGTGCAAGTTGAAGAAATCTATCTATGATCTCAAATAGGCTTCTTGTCAGTGGTACTTGAAATTTGATGAGATAGTAAGTTTTCTTAGTTTTGTTGAGAATAAGATGGATCAATGCATATATCTTAAGATTAGTGGGAGCATATTTATTTTTCTTGTTCTTTATGTTGATGATATTTTACTTGCAAGTAATGATATGGACTTACTTCATGAAATTAAGAAATTGTTGTGCAAAACATTTGACATGAAAGATCTTGGGAAAACATCTTTTGTGTTACGCATTCAGATTCATTAGAATAGGTGTCGTGGGTTGTTGAGACTATATATAGATTGTGTGCTTGAAAGATTTAATATGCATAATTATAAGTTTGGGAATGTATCTATTGTGAAAGGTAATAAATTCGGTCTAAGCCAATGTCCCAAAAATGATATTGAGGAGAATTTTATGAAGAATATACCTTATACTAGTGCTGTTGGCAATTTAATGTATGTACAGGTTTGTACCAGGCCTGACATTGCTTTTGCAGTTGGTGTTCTTGCCAAATATCTTTCCAAATCAAGATTAGATCATTGGGTGACGACTAAGAAAGCTATGAGAAACTTGCAAAGAACAAAAATTTCATGCTTGTTGATAGGAGTTGATAGTCTTGAGGTGATTGGTTACTCTTATTCAAATTTTACTGGGTGTCGGGATGATTTAAAATCTACTTCAGGATATATTTTCATGTTAGCTGGAGGACCAATATCATGGAAGAGTGCTAAACAAACTCTTACAGCTTATTCCACTATGCAAGCTGAATTTGTAATATGTTATGGAGCTGCAACACAAGTTATATGACTAAGGAATTTTATTTCAGGACTTGTGATTGTTGATTCCATCTCTAGACCATTAACAATTTATTGTGATGACAGTGCATCTGTGTTTTTCTCAAATAACAACAAATATTCGAGTGAGTCTAAACATATGAAAATTAAATATCTTTCTATTAAGGATCTTGTGAAGTAATGTGACAATGTGATTGAACATATTGATATAGAATCAATGCTTGCTAATCTTTTAACCAAGGGACTGAGACCTATAACTTTTAAAAAATATGTTGATAACATGAGTATTTTGAGGTCTTTTAATGTACTTGGTTAGTAGGAATTTTTTATGTGTTAAGAACTTTAGTGTTGATTTAATTCCATATGTGATATTTGATACTCATTATGGTTGTGATACATTATTTGATGAACAATAAATATTTGATGATTATTATTATTGTTAGCATGATATTTTTACTATGTTATATGTGTACACATTTATGAGATGTCATTTTATACAAAATCTTAAGGTTTGGTGTATGTCTTAAGTATGATTGTTTTGTCAATTGCGTATATCTCTAATTACAATATTTGAGAAAATCTTGTGATTTTAAGTTTAGAGACATACTAGCTTATTGTTGAAATTAATAGATTTCTCTAACTTATTGCTGAAGCATGTTGTTAAAGAGAAATCCATTGAAGGATTGATAATGAAAATAACGTGTTTATCAGATCACATATTGAGATGTTATTTTCTTGCTATACTACCACATCTTGATCCATGTCAATAAAATTATTATTTTTTGTAATCATGAATTGGTCCTATGTCAATAAAAGATGTAAAGGCCGCCATGATTCGAAAATAGTAATTTTATTGGACCAGATTGTGTTTAAAATGTTGTCTCAGGACCATATTTTTTTTTTTTTAAATTGTGGCCACATTGAGTTTTGTTTGATTAGCCCGAGAGTCATTTTTCAAAAATATATATATAATTTTATTTTATTTCTGAATGACTACAATTAGTGTTGTCCAAGTGGAAGAATGTTGAAATTTTTCCTATATTGGACTGTCATTAATTGATAGTTAATTTTAGTTTGTGAAAAACGGACTGAATTTATGGTCCAATGAGACGAGCCAAAT